GGGGGGGGGGGGGGGGGGGGGGGGGGGGGGGGGGGGGGGGTGTGTGCTAAGTGTGGGCAGGCAAGCTGGAGAAGGGAGAGAGAAAGATTAGCGGGTTTCTCTGCCAGCGCTGACTGAACCCTTGGGTTCCACGAACCCCCACCGCCAAATAGCTCATATGTCCCCCAACTTCTTTTCAATGATGCCAGCTACAGACCAGACGGGGGTGGGGAGGGGGGAGGAGAGGTGGCAGCACATCTCTCTACTTACTGATGGGGAGGACTATGATGGGGATGTTCTTGGGCCGCTTGCTCTCCTTGTCAATGAACTCCCCGGTGACCGTCTTCTCTCTCTCTGTCACACGACAGTTGTATTTCCCACTGTCTTCCTGGCGGAGGTGGTAGATCTTGAGCACAAAGACACCGTCGCTCTCCTTGGCCACTTTGAGCTGGCCCCTGGCTTCCCGATGGGCGAATTCACTGTTGAGGACTGGCACAGCATTAGGCCCCATGCTGGCGATGAGCGAGCTGTTGAAGGCCCAGGACACAGCGAAGTAACGGTCAGGAACGTTCTGTGCCTCTAGGATGCATCTGAACTCCGCCGGCTCACCCACCGTGTACAGTCGCTTCTCGGTCTCCAGCCGAACGGTGAATTCTTTGTCTAAGGAAACCAACAACAAAACGGATGCATTCTGGGTGAACACAGGGACCCCCAGCTACCCCAACGATATCCGCAAATTCCCACCACCGGGGCCTTCTGGGGGCGTGCTAACCACAGGGAAGGCACGTCCTTGCTAGTCTTGGGAGAAAAATCCAACCCACGCCCAGGGCTGATCTGAGGACCCGAGAAACTCCCGAATATCTCAGAGAGAACTCAAAGGTAGCTAGACCCAGACAGTCTAAGGGGCTCATCATCCCAGTTGAGACAGAGGGGACTCTGTAGCCTATGATGTCCAGGATTAGACCCCAGAGGACAATAAGGAATATCATTCCTGACATCACTTACCCAGGTCTAGCTCTCACCTATACCCCCCGAAACTCCATTTAAGCAACAGGCCTACAAACATTTTCTGCCAGTGTGGCAGGACCCACACCATGGAAATGTGAGAGACGAAGTTACACAGGGGCCTAGGCACTAACCCCAGTGCTAAGAAATATTCGAAAATGTACCGATAACTGAGATATGTTCTTAGTCCCCTGCGCACGCTGGAAATAAGACACAGGTAATTACGACAATCCCGCACACAAAATTCCACAAGCGAAAATGAATGTCTCTCCACCAGTCACCACCTGTCAGATCAAATCTCGAGAAGGAGGGAGAGGGAAGATACCAAGTTCTGCTGAAAGTGAATGACCTCTGAGATGATCAGTGAGGCCAAGCACCCTCCAGAGAGCTGGCTGTCTGACCGGGAAGGAGCGGATGCTCAGAGAGGGAAAGGCTCATGGCCGCAAACAGTGTCCCATAGACGGTGAGACACTCACCGCCCCTCATGGGCACCCATGGCAGAAGTGGGGGCTGAGACGAAGGATGAAAGTTTGCAGAAAACAGAACCACGAGGCCTTGGGTAGGCGGGCTGGAGCTAGGTCCCTCCTTCTTTCAAGTCTAGCTCTGTCCCCCTGAAGATGGGAAATCACAATCCAGGTATGTTTGAATTCCTCATAGACCTGTTGGCTCTGACCTCGACTACCTTCCGTATGCTGGCATTTCCAAGCTTCTACCACTAACTTTGTGACCTTTGCCCCATTTTTGTCCCCCTGTCCTATGCACCCTTCGAGCAGATAAAAAATTCTATTTTCCCTGAGAAATCACAGGGATCACAAGTATGCATCTTTGACATCCTCTTTTCCAGTCCAAACTAGGCTTTTCCTCACCCTGTTCCTGAGGCTCTCAACCACCTCCCCTCCCCTCCCACATGGCCTGGTGTCTTGCTCCAAATATCCATGTTCTTCAGCAAATTAACTCCTTCCTTCAGGATCCAAAATTCCTGACAAAGCAAACCCCAATCAACGACTCCCAGGGGCTCGCCTCCCAGGGGACAGCTGCTGCCTCAGCTTCCTCTTCCTCAAAAACCAGTCCTACGAGGTGGGAACTGAAGTGAGTCACCCCCTGCGCAAAAGGGACACACCAAAAGGGAACTGTGCCTGTGTTATCGGCCAGACAGTGGCTCAGTGGTAAACCCAATTACAGTCACTTGACATCAATGATTAAAAAAAAAAAAAAGAAAAAAAAGGCACGCCTTCCAGATAAATGGCACGGAAGACATGCAAACAGGTGCCTGAGACCTCAGAACTTTCCATTTCCATCTCCTCCTGTGGCTTTCTACTTGTGGCAACCAGAGACTCTTCTACTCTTGCGGGACAACCCCATGGTTTGGTGAAGCTTGATGTTCCCAGGTCGAAGACACAAGACTTACAGCATACCACCGCCTTCCTGTGCAGCTGGTCCTTGGGGATGATGCCCAGTCAATTACACCTCCAGAAATTGATTTCTGCTTTTTCCAATGCCCCTCACTCTTCAACTCCCTGAAGTTTGGCTTCTGGCCCCTCTCCCACACTTCACTGTCTTAGCAAATGTCCTCAGTGATTCCCCTGGCCACCCTGACCCCGACCCATCGCACCAAAGGCTTCTCTCAAGCAGGTTTCAGTCAGACCCACTCTCCTCTCCCTTGGGTTCCATGACGCCTTCCTTCCTGATTCTCCTCTTGCTTGACTGACCCCTTGGTTTCTTTCTCTTTCTCACCGAGACCTGCTCCTCTGACCTCTCACTGCTGCTATTCTCCTGGGCCTTTGCAATTACCACCACACAGCTCCTCCCAGGCCCTCATTCCTCCCAGGCTCAGCATGGACAGTGCTTTTATGTACTGAGCATCTCTGTAAGCTTCTGCTGAAGGATGGAGTCCTGGACTGAAACTGACAAAAACAGAAGAAAAGACAACCAGGGCTGCCACCGACCGGGAAGCAGAGGCTTTGAAGCAGGACTTTGTTCTTAATACCTTTCCTTCCCCTTCCCTCCCCATCCCAATTCAAGGAATCACCCAGAGCCCTGGCCTCAGGGTGCCCAGTACGTGGATTCCTGCTCCGTGTGGTGCTCCCCATTCTTCCATCTCTAGCACCTGCTGCCTGCTTTCCAGACTGCCGCCCACCCACCCTGGTCTCAGAGTTCTCTCCTACCTGGTCTCTCCACGGCAGGACCGACCTGTTTACTCAACCTCCAGCTGGTCTCTGGGGTTCTGTCCTTCTGGAACCCAGAACTCATTGTGTCACTCCTTGCTTTAAAATCTCTATTTCCCCCTACAAGTGTCTGAAGCAGTGGTTTTCAAACAGTCCTTGAGAGGGGGCAGAGGAAAGGGCAGTTTCTTTATGTAAAATCTTCTGTTGCCCAACATAGAAAACATTTGGTTAAGGGCAGTGAGGGAACACTGTGGCCCTCGGGGTGCCTTCCTCCACCACCTTCTGGCAGGCACCTCTAAGGGGGCTCCCAAGACCCCAAGAAGGACAGCTTGCAAACACTGGGGCTATGGAGTCAAGGCCGAGCTCCGCACTCCAGCACGTGGGACCTCAGGCCTCCTCTCGTCACTCATTTCTGGGCCTCAACCTCTACCCATGCCGGGCTCCTGTCTGCTGGCCAAACATGGGACACATTTTTGTGCCCTTAAGCTTGCCCCTCTGGTGGCTCCTCAAGCTTCAGATTCAGCTCCACTTGCCCTCCTTGCTGGTTTTCCTGGATTCACCTTCACTCTCCCATCCAGGGAAAACTTCAGGTTGCCAGGGCACTGCCTAGTCACTGTGTCCCAGAGCACCATCCACATAGCATCACAGACCTCAGGACACCCCACTGAGCCACTGGCCTTCACAGCTGCCCCTTCCCTGAGGGCAGGCCCCAAGAGCTGTCCATCTTCGAATCTCCAGCAGCTTTCGCCGGACCTTCACCGCCGCAGAGACTCACTGAATGTTTACCGAAAGGAACTAAGGGAAGGGCCAGATGGAGCTGCAACCGTGGAACCTGAAAAGCTTGGGGGCACCGAGTAAAGTCATCAACGTTTTTTTGCATCTAGTTTTCTCTTGGCTGGCTTAGTCTGAATACATTTGCTGGGCAAATTCAAAAAGTCCTAATCCCAAATTGGTAAGATTAAAATAAAGAAGATTAACTGATGCCACCTAATTTGAAAGCATTAAGATTCAAAACTTGGTCCAGACTTCTGAAGCTGATCTTAAAGCCAACCAGAAAGGGAAAGGATAAATACGAAATGAAGTGCCTTCCCCAGATGTCTTAGTACTGGAAGATCCAAAAGCTGCTAACAGCTCTGGGCCCGACAGAGCAGATAAAGCACTCTCTTTCCTGGAGCCGATCCTTCTCAGGAAAGCCCATCCGCTGTCCAGAGAATCCCTTCTGCCCTATTACCTGTAGAGCTGTGCCGGACAACACAGACAGCAGAAGAATCACCTGGGATGTGTACTGGAAATCCAGCTTCCCAGCCCCCCCAGCCCCACCCCAGCAACCTGCTTCAGGAATCTGTACCATTGGGTAGATTGGAAGCACTGCTCTACACGGACACAAGAAAAAGTGGCAGAAGGCCAAGACCACTGACTGTGTGTAGCAAACAGGACAGTGAGGTCAAGGTCAGGTCCTGAAGATGAGACCCCAAATGTACCACAGCTCATCTCCCATAAACCACACCTCCAACCGCAGCTCCTCCTGGAGGTGAGGAACAACACAGGAACGTCCTGGGGCTGCTTACTGCACCTTGATGATGGCTCGATGACCAAAGTCAGGGCACTGAAGGTCTCGTGGAAGGCCTGCTGCTGCCCAGCCAAGGCAGCCCGCGACAGACATTAGCTCTGATCTGGAGCATGGCTGGACTCGGGGGCACGGGGCAGTCGGAGAGTGTGGGGAGTCAGAGAGGACCTCTGCTCATGGTGTCATCATCTTCTCACCCCAGCTATAAACATGTCAACTCAGCCTCCTCAGGGAGCCCCCTTACCAGGTCTTTCACCAGTGAAAGCCCTTATGGGAGAATCTGACACTCGCCAGGCGGGCCTCGATGCCCTGCCCTGGGACTTCTCCCGGGGCCCCACCATAAAGCCACTGCCCTCGGCATCTGCCCCACCACTGACTTACTCTGCAGAACTTCTGCAGAAGTACTACGTGATAAAGCATTCTGGAAATTATAAAACACCACCAAGGACATAGTATTAATATAGGAAATCATAATTTAAGCCAAAATTTCCCTAGATCATAATTTCAGACCTCTGATGGAAGGCTCAGAATCTCAAATGTCTTCTACAAATAAAATAGGACTGGTCACCAAAACAGGTAATGTCATCAAAGCGGGGGGGCAGCCCCTGGGAACCCAGTTCATTAGATACAAAACAGTTTATGTGAAATCTCCCAATTTTTAAAAATGAACCTGTAATTCACGAAAAATATCAAATACCCCGTGGGTCCAAGAAACCCTGTCTGTAAGCCGGATTTGGGCTGGCTGGCTCCTCTCCAAAAGTCACTAGAAGGTCAGATTTTAGGCAGGCCCTTCTATGTTCCTAGTACTTTCAGAGGTCCTCAGAGAAGGAGTCTGCACCTTCTCCCAGCATCAGACAACCCTCCCCACCAGCAAGAACAAGAGAGAGACTGACCTGTGGGCTGGACGTTGACCACAGTACCCTCGGACCGCTTTCGGGTCATGGCGTACCACGAGCCATCCGGGTCCTGGATCCACTCGGCAGCCTCACAGTAGAACTCGCCCTGGTCGGAGGGCTGCAGGTGGAAGACGGTGAGGCGGAACGTGGAGCTCCCCAGCTTGTCCAGCCGCACCTCCCCCAGGCTCTGCCTCTGGGCGTACTCGCTGCTGGAGTACAGCACGAAATCTCGGCTCAGGGCAATGACCTCTGCGGGCTTCTCGCCCCCTCGCTGCCGGAGCCAGGCCACTGACAGGTGGCTGTGCTGGAACGTCTCCGTGGTCACCTCACACGTCAGCTCCAAGGGGTCCTGCTCCACTTTGTGCAGAGTCTGGGGCACGGCCGTGGTCTGCAGGGTGTCAGGAATCACTGCAACACAGAAATGTCCCGGGCGCACGGTCCCAAAGCTGCAGAACCTCACCCCTGCCGGGGGGCCAACCACTGACCCCACAAGGCCTTCAGCAGTCACCGGGAGGCCTCGGTCAACCCCGGACGGCACAGAAACAGGAGTTTCCTGCGTGGATTTGGACTGCAATTTTTTGGCACTTAACGCTTACCTGTTTGGTATTTTAATAACACTTGGCTAACATAGGCAGGATGTACTTCATTTCTCATAGTAAATGAACTCCCTAAAAATACTGTGTCAACAAGAATTCTCTTTTAGGCCAAATGAGATTTTGTTGTTCCTTCTGGTACTGCTTCAAGATACTTTCGCTTGGCTTCTGACCGATCCTCAAAAGGAAATAGTTCCTAGAAGTTGCGTTTTCACATGTCAGTGCACCTCGCTGACTTCCTCCCCTCTCACTGCCTCACCCCCACGTTCCCCCCCACTAACTTCAGCAATGCAATGCTCTAGCAAGGCTACGTTGTAAGAAAAAAAAGTCTTTGGCAGAAGAAAGCAACAACCACCTTGATCATCAGGTAGGTGGAATTTTCCTGTAATTCATGTGTCAGAGGGGTCCGTGCTGGAAGGAAGCCTCAGAACACGGCCCCATGGCCCCTTGGTCAGAACTGCACTCTGGGGGCACGTGGGTGGCTCAGTGGGTTAAGCCTCTGCCTTCAGCTCAGGTCATGATCTCAGGGTCCTGGGATCAAGCCCCACATCGAGCTACCTACCTCTCTGCTTACTTGTGATCTCGCTCTCTGTCAAATAAATAAATAAAATTTAAAAAATTAAAAAAAAAAAAAACTATACTCTGGAGACTCAACACCCCCATTCTTGGCCTGGGGCCACCCCAGTGGCAACCAGTGTGTGTTTTCTTACTGAGCTCATCTCAGGCCTGGGTCTCACAGGCCTCTCGATAGGATGCAGACCGACAGAAAGGAAAAGCAAGTTTGGTGTGGGGTGGGGAGGGGAGAACTCAGTGTGGACAGCACTGGGGTGTAATGTTCACCCATGTGGAGGGTCAGCAATAATAAAGCTATTTTGTTTTTCTGCTCAAGACATAATTTCCAAGCAGAACGGTGATAATAAAAACTGGAGATTAAGACTTGGGCGGAAAAAGAAAAAAAAGTCTTTGGCCTTGATATCGTTGACCCTTCCAAATCAGCAAGCCTGGTGGCCCACAGCCGTCCACACTGAAATCTGTCCCCTCCCACCAGCAACCTCCAACATTCAGGGGGTACTAGGGCCAAGGGAGACAGCTGGTGCACAATCCCTTGCTTGTGCAGCCTGAGGACCTAGGGAGTGGCTCCGGGTGTGAACAAGGACCTGCAGGTGCACTCGCCTCCTGATTCAGCAACGCCCTGCAGGTTTCAGAGCCCCTCTGTCACCCCGCGGTTTCGCTTCTCTGCTAGCTGATGTCCTATACTCCACCTCCACCACTTCTTCAGGCAGATCATCAACCACAAATGTCCTTGCCTTCGACTTTCCTATCTCCCTTCACCAGCTACAGGGTCAGTTAACCTTCTCCGAATTCTTAACACCCGCACTCCATCTTTTGTTTTAGCCCCAGCCTTCTATTTATAAGGGATTTACAAGGGAACCCAGAACCTTTGTTCACTCATGCTACTGGTTAACCACTAAGACATCTGGGGACCTTTGGGTTTTTGTTGTTGTTGTTGTTTAGTCAAGTAAAGTTGCACTACGAAAGCAGGGACTCAGTAATCTAGACTCAGTATTTATTTCCTCCCCTCCCCCACACCCCATATGGTGAATCCTAATCCTTCCTTCCCCCATCCCCAGTGGTGTTTGGAGGTGAGGACTCTGGGAGGTGATGGGGTCATGGAGGGGGAGCCCTTGGAAAGGGACCTCAGTGAGCTCTCTCATTCCCTTTCTGCCATGGGAGAACACAACGAGAAATCAAAGGTTGGCAACCCAGAAGAGGGCCCTCACCAGAAACAACCGTGCCTGCCACCTTGACCTTGTACTTCTAGCCTCCAGAGCTGTGAGAAATCAACGCTTGTCGTGTCAGCCACCCGGGCTGTGGCATTTGGGTATAGCACCCTGAGCAGACTCACTGGGGCGGGATGCCAGCCACGGGAAACAACATCTCCTTACCCATGAGGTTCATCTTGGCACTGTAACTCCCGAAGTACTGATTGTCTGTGCTGGGCGTGTGGCACTCATACTCCCCGGCGTCCCGGGCCTGCAGGTCGGTGATGTGCAGCAAGGCTGAGTTCCCCTGGACCCTCTCCACGTAGATCTTCCCCCCGCGGACTCGCTGGGTGTAGATAGCGTAAGGGAAGGAGGAGTCCACGGTGCTGACGATTTGGACCTCCCGTTCCGGGGCGGATGGCAGGTAAATGGACCACTGGAAATTCTGCTCCGAAGGCCCCTGGTAGCCACTCACGTTGCACCAGATGGTGATGTGGGAGCCCTCTGTGCGGTACAGGGGTCCTTCCTGGACGGCGACATGTCGCTGTGCCAGCACGACACCTGTGGGGGACACACAGACAGGCTCGCTTACTTCCCAGACCAAAACGCAGAGTAGGCCGCGATCTTCAAAAGCGTTTGTGATTTGTATGACATGATCATATAAATAGCTTCCTGGCCCTCTCTGAGGTGCTCTGTGATTTATAAATATTAATTAAAACACTGCGCTAAAGCTCTGTCCCGAATTTGCATATATGGAGATCTGACCAAGCAAGCCGCAGTTGGTTACTGATTAAATGGCTGAACCCTTGGGAATTTCATTTAGTCCCTCTGTTTGTCATTTGTGTAGCGGTTTTATATCTACTTATTAATGCCGTTTACAAAGTTTTTAATGAAATGAGCAGGAAACGTTGACTCCTCAACACCCATTCCCATGAAAACAAATAAAAGCAACCGTCCTGCAGGCTGGGCCTGTAGGTTGAAGGGAGTCCTGCGGCCCTTGCTTTGGTGCTGCGCCCTTTGTTTTTAGATGTAGCTCTTCCCAGCACAGGTGGAGGAGCCGCTCCTCACCTCCTGGAGCTCCTGTGGGCGACTGCGGCTTGAAGCTGAATGCACATGAACGTGGAAGGACAGCCCCGATGCCAGCACACTGGCCATGGGGTAGGGGCGCCGCCAGTCTGGCTGGCTATGCTGCTCTGAGGTCGCCCCTGCCTGCCTTCTCCTCGTTCTTCTCAACTACACTCTCCCCCATAGACTCGGGAGCATGGAAAATGGTGAGTCATTTCTCATTCCATGCCAGCCTAAGGCTGCCACTGCCTGAGCCCCAGGGCAGGGAGGAGAAGGCACCCCCCACATCTCCTCACCACCGCCCCCCACCCCCGCCACCCCCAGGCCAATGGCCTTCTTTCCCTGCAGCAGCTGGGTAGAGCAGTGAGGCACAGGGGGCAGGTGAGTTCCAGCCCCTGTTCTGCCAGTAACTAGGACTAGCTGTGTCATCTTGGACAGGCTGCTTTTCCTTTCTGGACCTTGATCTCTTCATCTATAAAAAGATTTCTAAGAAGGCTTGGGAGTGGACCAGCACATATATTAGGGCTGGCTTTGTCCCTTACTGGCTGTGACCTTGGCTTAATTACTTAAAACCTCGGGGCCTCAGTTTTCTCATCTGTAAGACCAGGACAATAACATGGGCCTCACGGAGTTATCAGACTCAGTAAGATAACACCCATAGGGGTGCCTGGGTGGCTCAGTGGGTTAAAGCCTCTGCCTTCCGCTGGGGTCATGATCCCAGGATCCTGGGGTCGAGAGCCCCGAGTCTGGCTCTCTGCTCAGCAGGGAGCCTGCTTCCCTTCCTCTCTCTCTGCCTGCCTCTCTGCCTTCTTGTGATCTCTCTCTGTCAAATAAGTAAGTCAAATCTTTAAAACAAACAAACAAACAAACAAAAGCACCTGTCAAGCCCCCAACACAGGGTCTAGCCCACAGTTACTCTTCTGTGCAGGGCTGCTAGCTAAAAACCCCTCCTAAAAACCCCTCCTGGCTGGAACATTCTTCAGTGCTGGATCCATAGATTTGGCCAGACATCCCCAAGGACAATCCAAGGGCCTCCTGACAACGACAGCATCTCTCGCCCACCCACCTCCACCCACAGCAGCAGCCCACTTCCACGGTCCATAACAGCTTCCCCTCTCCCTCTCTGAAAAGGAATCCCAGCTGCCCAGATGTGAACCGATCTGACGGGGATCCAACTGGTGAGCAGCCCGGACAGCTCGAGGACAAGGGGACACAACTCGAGGCCAGTCCAGGGCTGCACTTGGGAGGGGGCAAGGTGGGCACCTCCGAGCAAGCTGGCCTCAGCTACAAGATGACAGACTTTACCACAGACCCTTGAAGGAAAGACGGGGGGCTTCCGACCTGTAATTCACGGAGATGCTTTACTCCCAATCCAAGTCTTACCCGGAACCCCATCTTGGCTTCCTGCGCAGAAACTGGGAACTGAACAAATGAAGGGGAGGGAACCAAATCAACGGATCAAAGTGGTCTGTGAATGTCACTGATCCATCCTGGTTGACAGCCCTCATTACTACACTGAGAGCCATGGAGGAGACAGCTCATTAGTTATTTTTGGTCTGTGAAAATTGTGGTGTATAACATTTTGACTATGTGTACTCTGTCTATGACAACTTAAAATAACTGTATGGTGACATTCTGAATCAAATGTTTGCACTCCTCCAGAAACACAGAACTCTGAAAACAATCTAACTGCATTCAGAACATTCAGGTCTCTTTGTATCTCAGGGCTTGGGGACACAAAAGCCACAGCCGCTTGCCAGGAAGGCCACTAGAGGCAGGTGAGAGGGAGCCAGCTTCTCCTTCACGCTGCAGCCACACTAGAATCACCTGGGGACCTTTCCAACACAGCAGGGCCTGGACCCCAGCTGGTATAACTGGTCTGGGGTGCAGCCCGGCCAGTAGCAATTCTAAAAATCCAAAAGCATGGCAAGGTCGACAACTGCTGCTTCCACGGGTCTCTATGTGCTGGCACCCAGGTGTCCAGATTTGGGAGGCCATCTCCTCCCTTCTGCAAAGACTCTCCGTGAATCTGGGTCAAGAGAGCGTCACTCTTCTCTAGCGAATGGGCGCGGCGGAGGCCCGTCGGACGATGCCGGCTCTCCTCACGCGAGGCAACCTGGAGCTTAGCCAGCCCATGTTCTCCTCACAGGCCTTACCACAGCGTTCGGCCATCAGATCACACATGTCACCCCCTGGAAAGTAAACAGCGTGAAGCGGCCTTGATGAGCTGAGGCATCCGGGTCAAACTAACTTGTCCAAGCCCGAAGCAGGCTGTAAGCAGCCTTGTTGAACAAATAAATAAACAAACACCGGGCTGGACTTGAACCACACACATTCGGCCGCACTTGTTCATTCAAGATCTCCTTCATTTCCTTCCTGCCCCACAAAGGGCCTCTGGTCCCTGAAAATAACACCGTTCTTAAAGAGTGGACCCTAACACAGAAGTAGAAATTACATTTTCCTTCTCAGTTTAATTCCCTTTCTGCACCCCACTCTCCACTTTTCCTATTCCTGGCACTGCCCCCTCATTTTCTGAGACAGCGCCATGTCTTCAAAGAGACCCAGGTCCCTACCTGGCCAAGGCCTGCGCTGGCCTCGAGGCCCCTTCCGTCTTCCCTCTCAGCCTACAACAGGAGACTCCTCCTGGGCAGGGATTACTTTTTTTTAGTGTTATTGCTTTTTTTCACTTTAGACATTCTTATATGTTTTGAATTACTTTGCAACAAGCAAATACCACTTCTGTAATTTAAAAAGAAAAGAACAAATATACACAGGGTCATATACAGCCATCTAAAAAGGACTGGATGCAAAAGGCAGAAAAAGAGTGGAAGACAAAAATAAGAGCAAGGAGCAAGGGCTACAGATACGAAACAATAGTATGTGTGGTAGATACAAATGCAACTATATCAGAAATCACTCTGAACGTCAATCAATGTTCTAAACGTGCCAATTAAAAGACAGAGATTGTGAGAGTGGATCAAAACACACGAGCCAAAAATTAACAAGTCAGGAAATGACAGATGCTGACAAGGATGCGGAGAAAAGGGAACTCTCCTACACTGTTGGTGGGAATGCAAGCTGGTGCAACCACTCTGGAAAATAGCATGGAGGTTCCTCAAAAAGTTGAAAATAGAGCTACCCTATGACCAGCAATCACACTACTGGATATTTACCCTAAAGATACAAATGTAGTCATCTGAAGGGGCACGGGCACCCAAATGTTTATAGCAGCAATGTCCACAATAGCCAAACTATGGAAAGAACCTAGATGTCCATCAACAGATGAATGGATAAAGAAGATGTGGTATATATATATACAATGGAATACTATGCAGCCATCAAAAGAAATGAAATCTTGCCATTTGCAACGATGTGGAAGGAACAAGAGGGTATTATGCTTAGCGAAACAAATCAACAGGAGAAAGACAACTATCATATGATCTCCCTGATATGAGGAAGTGGAGATGCAATGTTGGGAGTTTGGGGGGTAGGAAAAGAATAAATGAAATAAGATGGGATCGGGAGGGAGACAAACCATAAGAGACTCTTAATGTCACAAAACAAACTGAGAGGGGCCGGGGGGAGGGTGGTAGGGAGAGGGTGGTGGGGGTTATGGACTTTGGGGAGGGTATGTGCTATGGTGAGTGCTGTGAAGTGTGTAAACCTGGCGATTCACAGACCTGTACCCCTGGGGCTAATAATACGGTTTATGTTTATAAAAAAACTTAAAAATTAAAAAAAAAAAAGAAATCATAGAGCAACACAGTGTTTGGCGCAGTCATGAGAAAGCACTCCATCAATTTTCACAATTTTAAGCATAATGTTAATGTTTAATATCAAATGAGATAATAATGTGGAAGTACTCTGTAAAGTGGTACAGGGCTATACCCATTGTTGAGTTTCCTCTACATAAATGCCTCACATTTCTTTGATGCCATTAGTGATAATAGTCCAGTGTCATGTTATTGTAACTGAAGGGTAATTCTCTGTATATTTTGTCTGTTGAAGGCGTGGATAGAAATTAATAAAGCTCCCTTCACGCTACAAAAAAACAAAAACAAAAACAAAACAAAAAAAACACACGAGCCAATATATAATATCTTATATATCTTGTAGATATTATATACCTATAAGAAGTCCACTCTAAATATAAAGGCACATATAGATTATGGGTAAATGGATGGAGAAAAATACCCCATGTAACCACCAATCAAAAGAAGCAGAGAGGCACCTAGGTAGCTCAGTGGGTTAAGCCTTTGCCTTCGGCTCAGGTCATGATCCCAGGGTCCTGGGATCGAGCCCCACGTCAGGCTCTCTGCTCATCAGGGAGCCTGCTTCTCCCTCTCTCTCTGCCTGCCTCTCTGCCTCCTCGTGATCTCTGCCTGTCAAATAAATAAATAAAATCTTAAAAAAAAAAAAGCAGGAGTAGTTCTATTAATCTCAGAGCAGATTTCAAGGTAGAGAAAGTAAAAACTGATGATGAAGGACATTACATA